TCTGAGCCACCAGTGCCATGCTCACAGTGCCTTTCTTTACCAATGCCAGCTTCCCATACTAGAGTAGTCAAAGCCTTGTACTGGACTTGAGGATGAAGGATTGTATGGGTTTTCTGCAGTTAAGAGTTGGCAGTCCTTGGGGCTGGGAAGGTGGCTCAGTGGTAGAGGGCTTGCCTTGCATGCATGAGGCCCTGGGTTTGATTCCTCAGCACCACATAAGCAAAAAGAAAAAAGCCGGAAGTGGCACTGTGGCTCTAGTGGTAGAGCGCTAGTCTTGAGCTGAAGAGCTGAGGGACAGCGCCCAGGCCCAGAGTTCAGGCCCCACAACCAGACCCCCCCCCAAAAAAAGAGTTGGCAGTCCCTCAGGAGAACTGTTTTATATTATTATTATTGCAGTCTTCAACTTCCTCTTCTAGGAGTTTGGGAGCTAGGGTCCAGCTTGGAATTCCTTACTACCACTCCCCCTCCTCCTCCCCCTCCTCCCGCTCCTCCTGCTCCTGCTCCTGCTCCTCCTGCTCCTCCTGCTCCTCCTCTTCTTCCTCTTCTTCTTCTTCTTCTTCTTCTCCCTTTCCTCCCTCTCCTCCCTCTCCTCCTCCTCCTCCTCCTCCTCCTCCTTCATTTTTGCCTGAGACTTGAACTTGAACTATGTATCTGACTTTTGCTCACTGACTACTGGTCTGCCACCTGAGCCATGCTGCCAACCCCTCCTCACTGCTTTTCTTCTGTTGGGTTAGTGTCTCCTGAGTTTTCCATCTCTGCTACCTCCTTTTGTGGTTTCTAGTTGTCTTCTACTCTTTCTTCAGAATTTAGTCCCAGATTCTTATCTTTTGTGGAGTAAAAGTGGTAGACACCATTTTGCCTCTTTTTCTTTTCGTCAGTTGTGGGGCTTGAACTCAAGGCCTAGGTGCTGTCCCTGAGCCTCTTTGTGATCAAGGCTAGTGCTCTACCATTTGAGCCACAGTGGCACTTCCAATTTTTGAGTGGCCACTTGGGGAGAAGAGCATCAGGAAGACTTTTCTTCCTGGGCTGGCTTTGAACTGTGATCCTCAGATCCAGCCTCCTGAGTAGCTAGGATTACAGGCATGAGCCACCACACCTGGCTCATTTTGCCTCTTTTTATGTGTAAGGTGATTTGATTGTATTACCCATTACCTATTGCCAGTACTTCTCCCCAGCTTCTCTGGTGTTGGTTCCTTTCCTATTGGCTAATAAGCCTAATTCTATTTCCATGTCTTTTTTTTTTTTTTTGGGTCCGGTCGTGGGGCCTGAACTCTGGGCCTGGGTGCTGTCCCTCAGCTCTTCAGCTCAAGGCTAGCGCTCTACAACTTGAGCCATAGCGCCACTTCTGGCTTTTTTTTTTCTTATGTGGTGCTGAGGAATCGAACCCAGGGCCTCATACATGCAAGGCAAGTGCTCTACCACTGAGCCACCTTCCCAGCCCCCATGTCTTTTTCTGGGAGGGGAGGTTCCCAATATGTGATGATGTCTTTCTGAGTCTGGCTTATTTTACTTAACATGATGATCTTCCTGTGTTTTCTTGTTACTGGCTGAATCATACTCTATTGTATATATACACATTTTAGTGATCAGTTCATCCATTGATGGGTTCCTAGGCTGTTTCCATTACTTGTCTCTTGCAAACAGTCCTGCACTGAACAAAGCTATTCAAATAAGAAAGAAAGAAGGGATGGAGTGGGGCGGTAGTCTTGTGTTTGGGAGCCCTCTGTCACTAGAACTAGATGAGATAATGCCCAGCTGATGCAACTGCAGAATTACTTGCTTCTTGGTGATGGGGGAAAATCTCTAAATCTTTTCAGGTCCCAAAAATGATCTGTGTGTTGAGGAGGAGAAACTGAACCTGAGACTTTATCCTACTGATTGGGCAACCACCAAGAAGGGAGCCCTGGGCTCGAGTTCCTGCCTCTTGTGATAGAGGATTCTGGGTCCTGGCCTTTTGTGACCCCAACTAATAGGAGTGTTCTGGTTCTCAGGGACATGTTTTGGCTCTGAGCCTGACTTGGAAGCTGTGTCCCCTTTCTGGAACTCACTCTTCCCATTTGTAATAGAGCACAGCCTGAGTCCTGTCCCCCTTATTGCTTGGGTATTGTGAAATCTCATGAGATTGGGTGGGGATGGGAACAGTCCTGGCCTGTCCTCTGCCCACTGTCCAGTAGCCCTGGGTAGGAGGGACTGGACTCCTTGGGGCTTTCAGATTCTTCCCACCTTACCAGGTCAGAAGAGCCAATACTGAGTGTGTGAGGGAGAGGAAGAGAGTGAAATTCTCCCCTCTCCTCATCCTATCTTCTTCTAAGATAAGGGTAGGTAGCTCCCTTCCTTAGGCCCCCTGCCCGTAGTCCCTCTCCACTTCTCTGGCATATTCTGGGAAGCTGCCCAGTTGTATTGGCAGAGCATCAGCTTCCCTCACTGTGCCCTGCTTACCGCAGGCTCCCAAGGCGCTTGGGCTCTTTGCCCTAACCTCCCTCTCATTAAGGCCATTCTCAGGAGGGCTGTACAAGGCTGCTCTTTAATAACAAGGCCGCAGGGACTGCTGGCTGTGTGTGTGAGGGGGCCTCCCAGTGTGTTTCCAATGGTAGATACTGCAGTGGGAACTGAAAAATTGGTATCTGAGAGCTATTTTACCCTAGCTCAGCTTTGCCTGGGGGGCGGGGAGGGAGGGGGTGAGGGCAAGCTTGGAGCTCGGGCCCTTCACTTTTTCTACTTCTGTTTCCTTTTCTGTGTGGGAGCACAGGGATAACACCTAATTTACAGGCTGTTGTAAGACTCAACTATGTTAAAATACAGGAAGCAGAGAGAAAAGCATCTAGTATATAATAAGTGCTCAATAAAGGTTAGCTGGTGTCATGGTTCTTGTCAACACACCTTCTTCAAGTAGCATTTGTAGCTGATTAAAGATGTTCCTTCGGCTGGGCGCTGGTGGCTCACGCCTGTAATCCTAGCAACTCAGGAGGCTGAGATCTGAGGATCACGGTTCAAAGCCAGCCTGGGCAGGAGAGACCGTGAGACTTCTATCTCCACTAAACCACCAGAAAACCGGAAGTGGCGCTGTAGCTCAAGTGGTAGAGCGCTCACCTTGAGCTGAAGAGCTGAGGGACAGCGCCCAGGCCCAGAGTTCAAGCCCCACGACCGACAAAAAAAAAAAACAAAAAACAAAGATGTTCCTTCGGCCTAGCCCAGAGACTCCCCATAGCTACATCAGAGGTAGAATTGTAGGTCTCAATGTCTCAGAGTCCTCTTGTCACCTTTTGCCTCCATGTCATTAAGCAATGCTTGCTGTGCTGCCATAAGGGCTTCATCAGAAGCTAACCTAGTACTTGCACCATGCTGTCAGCCTTCAAAATCCTGAACCCAAATAAACTTCTTCAATAAATCACCCAGGCCCAAGTATTTTGTGATAACAGAAAACAGGGGGAGCTAGAGAACATCCTATGATTGCAATTTTCAATGCCCAAACAGGTCAACCATTGTCTCCGTGAAAAATGAGATAGGAGCTGATAGCAGTGTCTCATACTTCACTTTACATTCTTCCAGAAGGTCTGGGAGTCACCCTAGCCTGTGGCATGTGACCTTTATTTGAATGGCAGTAGATACAGCACTAACAAACAGAGACTCTGAAAACATATTGTCTGGGTTCCAGCTTTAGTGGCTACTTTCTGGCTGTGTGACTCTGGCACCATATGACCTAAGCTGCCGTTTCCTCACTTGGGGGAAGATTGCCTGTGTTAATATATGCAAAGCCCTTAAAGTGGCTGGCACACAGTAGAACATGCTGGCTCTTCATATGTTTTTTTTTTTTTGGGTCCGGTCGTGGGGCCTGAACTCTGGGCCTGGGCGCTGTCCCTCAGCTCTTCAGCTCAAGGCTAGCACTCTACCACTTGAGCCACAGCGCCACTTCCGGCTTTTTTCTTTTTGCTTATGTGGTGCTGAGGAATGGAACCCAGGGCCTCTGGCATGCAAGGCAAGCCGCTCTACCACTGAGCCACCTTCCCAGCCCTTCATATGTTTTTTAATACTTGTTCAGCTCTATTAGGTAACAGAAGTCCCAATTCTCTGCTAGTCTGGAGGGAAGCTTCATTCCACAATGCAGTCTCTTTGCTGTGCTAAAGGAAGACTGCAGAAGGACTGATCTTCAGCTCAAAGTTGTCATGTCTAGTTGGCATGCAGTGAAATCAAGGACTAACATAGAGAGGTAAAACTGGAGTTAAAACACGTGCTTACATGACAAGTAGCCTCTCAAGGCTGCCATTTGTGCTGTAACCTCTGCACTCCTACCTCCTTGGTGCCATATTTTTCCTCAGTCAATGTCCCTTAGGAGCTCTGCGAGGAAAAAGACCCTATCTGTCTTGTTCACTGGCATTCCCAAGTTACAGAGATGAAGCTCAGGAAATACTGGGTTGAAGGAAAAGGAGTGATTTGTAAAAAATGAGTGGGGCTGAGGTAGCCATGATGATCTGTGTTGCTGAACCCAGACTTCTGGAGATGTTTGTGTGTTCTGAGGAGGGCAGCTGGGAAGTGAGTCTCATGGCTATAGCTGTAGCACCTTCTAGCCTCTGCCTCATTCTCAAACGCAGGGACTCTGTAGACTTTAATGACTGACACGACACATCTTAAAACTGTTTTATTTAAAAAAGGAAAATCAAACAAAGGCCCAACCCAAGAACTCTTGGTTCTGGGAGTCTGGGAGCAGCTTAGATCTGTGGGGAAGGTAGACCTGGAAGACAGTATTGGGGTCCCTGTGGCCCTGGGAAGAGCAGGGGCACACTGACACGGATAGGAAGCACAGCCCTTCATCCATGTCACAGGTTGGGGGGCTCAATCCCCAGAAAAAGTAAGGGTGGGCAGCTCTAGATGCCCCTGGGACCTCTTGTTATAACCACCAACCAGTTGAGAAAAAGGAGAGGATGGGTCCACGGCTCGATCGGGCCTATCAGCGCCATTCCCAAAGACGGGGTTCAGCTTAGGCCAGGAGACAGGCTCAGATGGGGAGAGGCATCCCCAAATTTGGCATGGGACTCTATGCCACGGGGAAGACAGGGCCCAAATGGGGCAGAACCTGGAGACAGCCTCCTCCTGGGAGGGCCGGGTAGGACCCGGGCTCCGGGAGGCAGGTGGAGCTCAGGGACCCTGGGGGCTCCGGGGCAGTACTCTAATAGGCCGTGGTGGGGGGTTGTCCAGGACAGGTTCGGGCCGGGCCCGTGCACCACCTCGGCGCTTCTGTTTGCGCAGCAGGTAGTTTGAGTATTGCACCTCGGGCATGGCCAGTTTGAGGCAGGCCTCGGTGGCTGGGCCTGCACCGCCACCAGGCAAGTCGTAACCCATGATGTCCACTTTGCGGCTGGGCTGCCACGGCTGCAGCTGCTTGGTGCGGATCTGCGCGGCCGGCCTCAGCACCGGCTCGTCACCGAAGCAGTGGCGCAGTAAGCGCTGCCGGGCCTCGCGCAGCTCGCGCACTTCGCGCTCCACGCATGCGCGGCCAGCTCTCGCCACGCGGCGCCAAAAGGTGGCGTTGAAATGGTCGTAAAGGCCGGCGTCGAGCGCGTTCCAGGCGCGCGCGGCCCGCGCCAGCGCCACGGGGATGGCGGCCAGGCGCGAGGTGGCCGCGCGTGCGTTGAGCTTGGCGTAGAGCACGTCATCCAGGTCCCAGGCCAGCAGGCGCCGCAGCAGCACGAGCGACTCGTCGAAGTACTCGGCGATCATGACCAGCGAGAAGACCTCCTCGACCTGGCGGATGAGGCGGGCCAGGTAGGCGGCGTCGTGCGCACCGCGATCGTTGTCCCCGCCCAGGTCGTAGGCCAGCGTGTTGTGCGCGAACATGGCAAAGTGCTCGCCCGCGCGGTAGTAGGCCTCGGGCGCGCGCAGGAAGGCCTCGAGGGACGCGTTGGGAACGCGCCGGAAGGCGGGGCAATACTGGTTGTAATAGCTGAAGAGAGATTCGAACATGGCGGCCGGCTCGCGCAGGATAGTGACGTAGATAGTGTCCGGCGGCATAAGGCGCTGCAGCTCGGCGCGGTCGAAGCGCAGGTGGCTGGCCAGCATGTGTGGAGGCCGCGTGGCTGGGTGCACGAAGTGCGCCGAGAAGTTCCGAGGATAGCAGAACTGGTGCTCGCAGCTCGGGTGCGGCAGGGCTACGGTGAGATTGTGGCGTTCGGCGAAACGGAACAGGATGTTCTGCACCGTGGTGCCCGCCGTCTTGTGCGTCTTTAGGAAGGCCACCGTCATGTGCTTGGGGCGTGGTGGCGACTCCCGCTGAGGCGGGCAGCTCACGGGGAACAGCTTGGGGTACCTGCAAGACCCACAGGGTATGTGAGAAAGGTGCAGCATGACCCTGTCCCATCCCCAACGATGGTAGATGTTGGCATAAGGGTTTTACCCCTGGAACAATAGAGGCAGGTGGTTGGTAGCCTCCAAAATGAGCCTTGCCAATCCCGCTGTCCTGTTTGATTGCACACGGATGGACTTATTGATGTGCCTAAGCTATAGAATAGGGCAGAAAAGATGGAATGTAATCTCAGATGATAACAGATACATTGCCTCCATTGTACTGTTTTTCTCTCTTTTACTCTCTCCAGGATATCATCTTGGGGGAAGTAAGCTGCCATATTGATGGGCAGCCATATAGAAAAAAAAAAATCACGTAGCAACAGCCATTAGCCTGCTTGAAGAATTGAAGCCTATTGAACCAATTGTGTTAGCCTAAAGGGTATCCCTTCTAATCAAGCCCTTGACAGACATCTCGACTGCACACTCATGAAAGACCTTGAATCCTAAGTATACACATATGTATGGCTTCAGGGAGACTGAAAGTTTAGGAAAAACTGCAAATGCTCAGGATGTATAGAGTTCAGTACTCCAAAATTACAGTAGTTCTGAGCACCTATAACTTAAAAGTGCATGTAATTAACTACATTACTGCCACAATAGCACTGTTGCGCACATTAATACTGTGCACCCAAACTCGATAATATTTCATGTTCTTTATCTTGAATACTGAAGAGGCTTATATTTCCATTTCCCCCATAATGTCACTCAACTTCAACTAAAGACAAATCTAAATTCTTAATTTATTACTTAAGTATATAATGAGCCCTTTTTGGCTGAAGATTTTCATAACTTTTTCCTGGCTTTTTGGGCACCATTTACTCTCTGGGAAGTAGATTTTCACGAAATTAAGAACAGAGAAACAAATCCTCAGCAGATTAATATTGATTTGAACACAATGATGACACAAGACTGAGAACTTATCTACATCAACTGAATTATGTAATAGGCAAGTAGAAATTAAGAATTGAAAAGTCAAGCTGGGCATCAGTGGCTCACACCTGTCATCCTAGTTACCCAGGAGACTGAGATCTGAGAATCATGGTTCAAAGCCAGCCTACGCAGGAATGTCCATGAAACTCTTATCTCCAATTAACCACCAGAAAACTAGAAGTGGCACTGTGGCTCAAATGATAGAGCACTGTCCTTGAGCTGAAGAGCTGAGGGACAGCACCCAGGCCCAGAGTTCAAGCCCCATGATGGACACACACATACACACACACACACACACACACACAAAGAAATAATTAAAAAGTCAAATTTCTTTTGTTTCTAATTTTTTTTTACCACATTGGTAAAAACCATGTGTAATAAATTCAAATTCACAAATAAGGTAGGTTTACTACCTTAGGTAAATCTAGCCTTACTACCTTAGTAAATCTAGGTGTAAGCTACACCTAGATTTCTGATCCATGAACACTGAGAGAATAAATGTTTGTTTTCTGTGGTAAAATAATGTTTGAGAGGAGTCAACTATGCTTGATAAGAAATGTACTCATAGGGCTGGGAAGGTGGCTCAGTGGTAGAGCATTTGCCTTGCATGCATGAGGCCCTGGATTCGATTCCTCAGCACCACATAAGCAAAAAGCTGGAAGTGGTGCTGTGGCTCAAGTGGTAGAGCATTATCCTTGAGCTGAAGAGCTGAGGGACTGCGCCCAGGCCCAGAGTTCAGGCCCCAAGACCGGACCCAAAAAAAAAAAAAAAAGAAATGTACTCATTACCTTGTTCATGTGGTTGTAACTTCTCTGTGCAGTATTTTCACAATAAAAAGCTTATTTAAAAAATAATGTTTGAGACTGGATCTTACTATGTAGTCCTGGCTGTTTTGGAACTTGAGATCTTCCTGCGTCAGCCTCCAGGTGCTGGAATTACAAGCTGGCACCACCATGCCTGACATCCATTGCTCAGTTTTTGTGTTTTTTTGGGGGGGTCTGGTTGTGGGGCCTGAACTCTGGGCCTGGGCGCTGTCCTTCAACTCTTCAGCTCAAGGCTAGCACTCTACCACTTGAGCCACAGTGCCACTTCCAGCTTTTTTCTTTTTGCCTATGTGGTGCTGAGGAATCGAACCCAGAGCCTCATGCATGCAAGGCAAGCACTCTACCACTGAGCTACCTTCCCAGCCCCATCGATTGCTCAGTTTTAAGGTAACTTGCTTATTCAGAAATAGTATAAGGAACTCCTTGAGAAATCCTACTTTGTCGCTGGAAAAGCTTAGGACCAACGGGAAATCTTAGTCACCAAATCCTTTTGCTCCCTGTCTTCTTTCTCATTTTTACTTTCATTTTATTGTTTAACTGATTTCTTACTTTTTGAGTAGGTGGTACAGGACTTTGCAGCAACCCATTTATTAAATGTTTCTGTTAATGGCTCTGAAGTCCATCCATCCATCTGTTTGTCCATTCAACAAAAAGTTTTTGAGCATTTATTGTGTGTCAAGTAATGTTCTAAGAGCAAGAAGTATACAGTATACAAAATGAATAATGGTCTTAGCTCTCATGGAGATTTTATTTCTGTACTTTGTTCCTAAATCAAAAGTGTTTTGGATTACTGGTTCTAGAAGGTCCTTTGAAGACTTTGATTCACTCTTCTGATTCTTCTCTACCATTCTGAGTATCTGGCTATGAGGGCATCTCTAGGCAGCTTTGTGAACACCATTATGGCTGGCTTCGGCTCAAGGTAATGTCTGCAGATACCACCTCCTCCATTCACACCTTTGTCAATGGTAGATCATGGAAAAAAATAGAAAAGTTGAGGCCTTGACAGGTGCAGTGATCTTTTAGGGTTATACAGTGACACGGGCAGGAGTCAGGTTCCCATCAGTCATCACATGGTACCCACCCATTTGAAGGTGACTAGGCCATCACGCCTATCATCACTAACATTTTAGAGATGAAGACATGGGCTAAGAAAAGTAAAGTGTGTGCTCCACACAGCAAAGGTAATGAGACGTTGTCTACAGCCCACTGAGGAGGCACTTGGCCATGATGTTGTAGGAATGACTTGGACTGGATGTGATTTGCAGCTAACTGGTTTTACTCAATCCAATCAGTAGAGAGCAGTCTCTCAATCTGTGGCTTGAGAGGATGTGTATGGAAAGCACTGTGAGAGTGCAGTGCCCAGAGGACTGTTCTGGCAGATGGAAGACTAGGAAAGGGAGCTGCCATTCCTGTTGCTAACCTAGACCACAGCACAGCAATGTCCCTCCTTAGGGGACCTTGCTCTCCCACGGAGACTCTGCCCACTTACCAGCTGAGTTGAGCCCCCTGGTGGATGAGGAGGCTCACCGTGCTGCACCCCAGAACCAGCAGTAAGATTTTCCGGCGGCTTATCATCTTGGAGGCCTGTTGTAGGCGCTGAAGGATGGGTGGCATGGTGGAGTACCTATCCCTGGACCAGCCAGGACCTCACTATCCAGGACTTACTTCAGCAGCACTCATGGGGGCTCCTGGGCTTCTGGTAACAGGGCCAGTGTTCCTGAGAAGCCTGGTGAGAAAGGAGGCAGACAGGTTTTCAGTGTGAGGAGGAGGCTCCAGGCCCTAGCAGGACAGCTACAGAGAAGATCTTCAATGAGCCAGGTGAACAGAGAGGCTTGGACAGATCAGATTCCTACCTCCTGTTACTAAAACCCTACCTCCTCACTGTTCCACATAGCCTAGACTTGGGTGGAATTACAGGGTGTGGTTTATGGTCAGCCCTTCAGACTGCAGACACTTTATCTCTTGAAGTGTCTCTGCCTTGGGCTGGGAAGGTGGCTCAGTGGTAGAGCGCTTGCCTTGCATGCATGAGGCCCTGGGTTCGATTCCTCAGCACCACATAAGCAGAAATAAAAAGCTGAAAGTGGCGCTGTGGCTCAAGTGGTAGAGCTCTAGCATTGAGCTGAAGAGTTGAGGGACAGCACCTAGGCCCAGAATTCAGGCCCCACGACCGGACCCCCTGCCCCCTCCCAAAAAAAGAAGAAGTGTCTGTGCCTCCTAGTCTAACTTGAGCTTTGTCTCATGGCCATTTGGATCTGTCTCTGTAGTAAGTGGTCTCAGCACCAGTATGTGACTCAGGCCACAGAAGTCTTAGCTCAGTGTCTCACCTCCTCCAGGACTCACCTGATCTCTTCGGCTAAGAGATGGTACTTGTTCCCCACAGCCTGAACTCCACTGCTCTCAGATCAATGCTACATGCTTACTATGTCATTAAACACAAACTACTCCCATTAAATCCTCAGTACCACTCTAATATAGGTATTATTCACACTTTGAAGATGATGAAAATGAGTGAATTGTTCGTTGTGGCACAGTGGTAACAGCAGAACCAGGACTCGGACCTCTTCTTTCTGTCTCCCAAATCCATATGCTTAGACATCCTGTAAGCATCCTGTATGCTGTGTCCACAGAGAACTAAGTATTAATTCTAGCAATCCTGCATGCCCCTAACGTCTCCTAGCTGGAATCCTGAGGGCCCAGGACTGATAAATCCGGGAGAGAAGGAGAGAAGTGCTGAAATCCTGGACCTCTGTCCAGATTCTATCCCCAGACACCTGATACCCATACTGCCCCATGAGCTGACTTCAGTACAGGTGTCTAGCCAGGGTGAAGGGAGGGCAGCCTGGGAGGTACAAAGCAGGAGGTAGGGAATCCAGAGGTGACTCCTGCTTATCGCCCTGCTGAGAATGTCCTGCAGAAGGCCAGCCTCTATCCTAGGTGAGTAGGAAGTTGGAAAAGAGCCAGGTTTCTGGCCAGTCTCTTCCCTGAAAGAATGCCCTGGCTCAAGGACAGCCCAGGCCTTGCCAGTCCAGGTGGAAAGTCAGCTTCAGCAGCCCCGCCTGCCCCTATGTTAGGATGGGCCTCACCCCAGTGGCATGCCTAGATTCAGATCCAGCTTCAGCTCACACACGCTCCTCTCCAAATGAGAAAAGGGCTTAGAGCCTTTTGGGTATGAGCATGTGTGTGGCACTAGGACACCTGGTCCCAGGAGTGGTGAAATCATGTGAACACCCTTTTAACCGTCATCTTACCTCTGGAGCCCTGTGTGCTCCATTCCTCTTATTCTCTCCTGCCTTTCATCCATCCTGGATTATATTTAAACATGTTTAGCAGGACCAGTGTCCTTTGTCTCCAGGCCCCATCACCTGGTTTCTTCCACTACAGACTGTCTAATCCTCCTGACTTACATAGTCCCTGAGTTTTCAGGGATTGCTGGGGTAGAAGAGAGCTAGTTCGTTTTCAGTGGGGAATTCAAGATCTTGGCCCTCTAGAGATTCATGCCTTCTTTTTGTCACCCATCCTGATGGCAAGATGGTTTCCCAAGGAGTTAGTGGGAAGCCAGTCTATATCCAGCTTTGCTGAACTTGCTGATAATACCCTGTTTCACCTTTGCCAGCCAAGGTGGGCAAGTCTATGGGGGGAGCCACATCCTTTTCCATATCTACTAGATAAGGGTAGAGGAAGTGTGTTGTGTCCCTTTATTCCATTCCAGATGTTCCTTACTGTCTAATGGCTTAGCTCTGGGGAGCCAGTTGGACTAGTCTGACAACTGCTTGGGCACTGTGGAAATCATGGACACCAGCCTCTAGAGATGGGTACCAGAGACGCTGGACACTGACAATGACAGGCTGCTCATGTCCTCCACATACAGTCTGCTTCACTCCTGTGCAGCCTCCACAGTCCTAGAGTTCTTCCTGGGACACTGAGGATCATTCTGTCTTGGGTCTGGGCCCTCTGGCTGTGACTTGCCCACCCACTCCCACTCTGTGTTGCGGTTAATGCTGCTCTTTCAGAGCACACAGTGCATTTTTCTCCATGGAAGACCTTCAGGTATTTTGAAAGCCAGAACCCTGCCTCCTCTGGGTGGGCACTGGGCCAGGCCATTCCAGGTCAGGAGAGAAGGTGGCACTGGGACAGTAGAGGAGGCTTGCCTTCCCTGGGCCAGGCCAAGCCTAGATGTCTCTTTTGGGCTCAGGGCAGCAGGAGCCAGAAGGGACTGAGGTTCCCTCTGGCCTTAAAGCTGATGTGGGCGGGTGGTGCTACTGCACCAGGCTTTCGAACAATGGCCCTGGTGGGTGTCCACAAAGGTTTCAGACTACTCCCCAATTTCCCCAGTGTGGTCTTCAGAGAGAGTGCAAGTGAGCCAAAGAAAGAGAGGGGGGGTCCCCTCACCATCCTGGATAGGTCAGGGTGCCAGCCTCATCAGAATACCAGTGCTAATTTTAGTCAGAACAATCTACTTCAGGCTGTTGCCCAGTTTTGCAAATTGCTTCCTTTTCTCCTGGGAACCAATGAAGACATGGTAGAGCCAGCCAGAGCTTTGGAAACTGTGGTGAACACACACCCATTCCCCAAAGATCCCCTTCTTCTCTGTCCCATTCGGGCTCTAGAGCTGTGACTGATGCACTTAAAAGGGGTGCCTGGGTCAGGACCACCCCGACCTGACCTCGCAATGACTTGAAGACTCCATCCTGACTTGGCACTGCCCAGCCAGGAGTAAAAGTGACCTAAAGCCCCCAGAGAAGAAAGGACAAGAGCCCAGGGGTAGGTGGTTAGCAAATTAATGGCCCCAGAGATGGAGTATCTTTCCACCACCCTTCCCCCACCCCCAGTCTGCACCGGGTCCCCCAGCCTCTTCTCCCTGTCCTCCATCCCCTCCTCCCAATTTCCTTCATCCTTCTCCCCTCATCAGTACCCCCCCCCCACACCCAGCCCCCATTGCATTTCCCTGCAATTTCTCCCAGGGATCTGGGTCACTGGGACCTGGTCACCATATAGAATAGGCCAGGTTGGCCCTCTTCGCAGGCCTTGCACTTGCTCCGTGGGGGTAGAGGGCCGCCTCCCTGTGCCCGGGCATCTAGGCCCCCAGGAGGCTCTCCGCTGCCCTCCTCCCCATCTCCCGTCCTGGTGCGGTCCACCCGGCCGCTGCAGTACTCACGCTGCCTGCGAGCGAGTGCCTGCGACCCCGGATTGGGGGGGTGCTCTCCTCTTCCTCTGGCCCCTTGTTCTTAAGTCCGCCCTGGAGCAGCGGGGGGCCCTGAGCACTGAGTGCCGGCCACTCGCGCTGGCTGCTCGCTGCGCTTGGATAGGATCAGGTGGCTGCGTTCGCTCCGCTTGTTCTGCTCTGCTCCCTCCTCTCCGCTCTGCCCGCCCCCCCATCTCTCACCGGAGGCGGGGCAGGGGGGGCGGGGAAGGGGAGGAGGGCAGCTTAGAGGAGGGGGAGAGGAGAGGGAAGGAGGATTCCATGGCTGGTGGGCTCGGGCGAGGGCTCTCTAGGTGGCATCTTTGGTTACAAGCATCTTAACCACTGTCACCTTTTAGAAGTGTCTCCCTTGTTCTGTCAAGAGCGGAAACTGAGTCTGGGAAGGTGTCTGAGTACTCTGGAATTATCAGGCATCTTGGGCCCAGCTGGACATCCAGGGTCTGGGGGTGATTGGCTTAGACTGAGGACTTGTATCTTGCAAGCTGGCTTACTCCCCCGCTTCACTTCCCACTTCTACTCTGTCTCCTCACATCTGCCCTCTCCACCCTACCCTTCCAGCCTGTCTCTAGTCCCAGCTCCCTGTGCCTCACCCATTCCTAATCAAAGCTTTCAGCCTACTAGGATGCTTCCCAGGAGGCAGCCTGTACCAAAAGCCAGAGGACCCCAGTTCAATCCTGAGCCTGCTATTATGCCCCAGGATCAAAGGGCAACTTCCTGAGCCGGGTTGGTTGCTTCTAGCTTGGAATTGGGCAGCTGTCCTGGGACTGCTCTACTTGGGAAGGCTCTGTTTTAGTCCTTACCTTTACCCCTGGACACGGGGCAGCAGTATCTCAGGTATCTCAGGCATCAAACATTAGTCTGTGGCTTGCTGGGCACCTGCTTTCCCCTTTACTCTGGGCCAGGTAAGCTAAGCATCCTGGATCTGGGTAGTTACCCAAAGCTGGGACCAGGGAGGATGCAAGGATACTTGCTAAGAAGCCAATGTGGATTCTGTGTCAGGAGAACTGCTTGTTGCCCCAGTTTGGCCCCTTACTCATGTTAGTTTCTCATTGCTTTTTATCTTTCCCCTCTGTACAATTGGAGGGGGAGGCCACCCTTCCTGAATCCCGGGGTTCTTGTGATAAAATCAGACCCCTTTTTGGTCCTACCTACACTAACCTCTCACTTATCAGCTATGAGTTTATCCTGCCTTAAGAGCTACCCTGCCCTTTCTTCCCCTTCTCTCTCTCCCCCTACACACTGGGGCCTCCAGCCTCAGATGACCTACTCTTGGCTCTCAGGTTACAGACAGCAAAAAAGAACCTTCCTTTGGATTAGGAATGGTTCTGCCTGAGTGGGCTGACATGCCGGAGACACCACTGCTCTTCCTTCTGTGCTGCTGCCCTTTCTAGCTTTCCCACATTGGGAGTGACAGGAGGACCCTGGGGTTGTGAAGGTGCTGGAAGGGGGACCGGGCTGAGAAGGGATGAAGAGAACTTCCCATTCCTGGCTAGGGCGGGGAGCCGGCCTTGGCTGGCTTAGTTCTTTGCTTTGTCAAATCTCACCTTCCCTGCATCTGGTGCCCATTTT